CCTGAGCAAGCCATGCTTGCTCAGGAATTCTGGGAGTTGAAGTCCATAATTCATAAAAGGGCCATAGTTGCCCACCCCTGGTGTAGGGGCATCTCTGGGGCTGTGCCTTGAAACGGGGGGGTCATTTGTCCCCTCATGATTTTCTTCTTCTTCCGTGTTATTGATGACTGCTGGAAAAAAAAAACAGCAGAGCAGCAACAAACAAAAGATAAGGCCAAATTAATCCCCTCTCTGTTCCATGATTAAATACAGTCTTCCTCATCGTTTTGCATAAGAATATGTCAACTTTGCAGATTCGGGAGGACAACAGTTGATCAGATAGGCCAAGAGATCTTGGATTAGATTTAGTTAAGAAACATGGTTGATGGGGAATCTTCTTCAAAACAGACTTGGACACTTCTTTGTCCACCACCACGAGGAAAGAGAGAAGATGGGAGGGAGAAAAACCAACCTGGAAAGGCCAAACGTTCTTAGCCTTTTCTGATTTTCAGAGCATGGGGTTAGAAAGCACCTGAGGGTTCATCATCTCCCAGCTGAGTGCAGATCCATTACGGTAGTGCAGGGCTGTCAAACTCTCAAGGCCCTTGGGCTGGATTTGGCTTGTGATGTGGTTGGATTCTGCCTGTGGGCCAGGGGTGGGATGCAAATATTTTTACTACCGGTTTTGTGGGCGTGGCTAGGTGGGCGTGGCCATGTGACTGGGTGGGCGTGGTTTTTTTGGCAGCAACCTTCCCCCCCCCCCCCAGCCTCTCCCGTGTGCCCCCTTTTTGCCTCCTGGGCCTTAGGGAAGCCGCCTGGGCGAAGCAGTCAGACAGCGAGGGGGAGCCCAGCATAGCTGATAGTCGGAACAGCCGATCATCGGGAGGGGAGGAAAAAGAGGAGATATCAGTTCGGCCAAACGGTAGCATTTTTTTACTACCGGTTTGCCCCAACTGGGCCAAACTAGTAGAATACCACCACTGTGTGGGGCCGTCCTGTAAAATGGAAGGGGCTGGTGCACATTGCTTGAGCCCGGTCTACCCAGTGCAAAGAGGAAACATGCCAGCAGTTTGGGGAGTGGTGTCAAGCTGGCCACGCCCACCCTGTTGGTCACACCCACCCAGTTGGCCACGCCCACCCGATCCCCCGAGGTCAGCCACATCCCTGAGTCGGCCCTCAATGAGGGTTGTGAGTTTGACACAACCCTGCAGTAGTGTTTTTCAAACTTGGCAACTTTAAAGCTGTGTAACTCCCAGAATTTCCCAACCGGCAACATTAGAGCTTCTTTTACAGATGACCCCCGTGAAGTGAAACAACAAATCGGTGGCACCTCCGGACTGAACTTTTCATAGAAGAAGCCAATGTGGTGAAGCATCCTCTAGACCAGGGATCTCCCACCTTGGCCACTTTAAGACTTGTGGACTTCAACTCCCAGAATTCCTCCTCTAGTCATGTTAGCTCAGGAATTCTGGGAGTTGAAGCCCACAAGTCTTAAACTTGCCAAGTTTGAAGACCCTTGCCTTAGAAAGAGCGATGAGAAGAACAATAAAGATGATAAGGCTAAATCTCATGATGAATGACTAAGACAGCGGTCCCCAAACTTGGTAACTTTAAGACTTGTGGACTTCAACTCCCAGAATTCTCCAACCAACCAGATCTCAAAGTCGCCAAGTTTGGAGACCTCTGCTGTTAGAAGTGTTTTGTTCACGGTCTTGTCCTGTTTTGCAGATCCTCCTTCCGTCAATGGGGGCTCAGAGATATCGGAATACCTACTAGAAGTGGCCAACAGCGACCAAGAAGAACACCGGCAAGCCTACCGTGGCCAAGCTTTGGAATGCACCGTGAATGGACTTCTTCCTGGGAGGACATACTGCTTCTGGATACGGGCAGCCAACAAAGCAGGGGTATGCCTTTGGGGTCTTGCTAGAGAATAATCCGTTGGTTTAAAGCAATGGTTTTCAAACGTGGCAACTTCCAAGGTGGGTGGACATCAATTGCCTGAAGTCAGGGTTCCAGCAGTCGCTCTAATTAAATCATGACTCTCCAGCCAAGCTTCAATAAACTTCAGTAAACTTTATTAGAGGCGACATACCGGCCCTGCCCTGTATGAAGCCAACTCTGGCATACGTCATTTACAGTCCCCTGTGACCCTGTTTCTCCCCTCCCCTCCCCCCAGGTGTCTCATAAACCAGATTCTCCAATTGAGCACGTTCACAGGCTGGGTGTCATCGAGGGCAAAAGCTCTAGGATTTTAATTAAAAATTTTTAAAGATAAGAATTGGAATGTACATTCGCTTTCAAACTGCTGCACTGCTCCTCCAAATTTCCTTCCTCTCCGCTCACCCCCCCTCCCCCTTTTTAATGGCAACTACTAAAACAGGCATAGAAATGTTTTATGAGTCGACACCTGATGGCCCAGTTAGTTGGGGAGTTCTAGGCATTGAAGTCCGGTCCATCTTAAAGTTGCCAAGTTTGAAAAAGCCTGTTCGGACCCAAAACCCTTTTCCAATAAAACAAACACGAACCAAAGGGAACAGAAACCTTTTAATAAGCACGAGCCTCTCCAAAACTGTGCGAGGCTGCCAAGAATAACAGATAAGAAATATTTTACAACACAAGGGTCTTCAAATGCCAACTTAAGATACTGCAATGTCCACGAGGCTGGAGTTTCAAAACGTCTTTGCCTTCTGCAAAGAAGATTAGTTTCAGAGCTGGCTTTTATCTTCTTGAGGAAGGGGCCATTACCTTGCAACCTTACTCCCGAGTTGCCCATGGTGTTGTAGCTGCTCTCTCCTACGAGCAACCCTGCGCGCACACGCACTTGGTACAGGCTCCTCGGGAACCTCCTCATCGCTGCTGCCAGACCCCACAATCTCTGAAGGCAGCAGTCCACTCCCTAATGGTCCTGGCCCCTCATCTGAGACCTCGCTCTCCTCAGCCGTCCACACCTGCTGCCAGCTAACCACAGGAAAGAGCCTGGTTTGAAGCATCTGCTGGTACAACACTTGTAGACTGTTCAGGAACAACTCAAGTCTTGAACTCTGAATAGCTGGGTGGAAGTAGGCAGCTGTATGCTTTTTGCAAACATTTTCATTAGAATCCTGGAGAAATTTGAAAGCTTCTCAGGGAAGGAGAGGCTGAGCCTGACCCGATGGAGAAGACTTGCATCCTTGGTCTACTGCAATCAAGGAACTATTCCGCATTCTGTTTTCCCTGAGAAAGCAGGAAATTTTAGCTACTGTAAAGGAGAAAGAAAGTCAGTGGGAGAGAAAGATTAGCTTCTTGGGTCCTCTCCCCTCCACCCCCCCTTTCCAGTGGTGGGTTGCTGCGTGGCCACGTGGGTTTGGGCAAACCCTTAGTTGTGATCACTGGCTGGGCCTGCCCACCCGTCCTTGTGCTATTCTTTTTATATCTAAATAAGTTTCTGGCTCATTCCCCCCCACTCACATTGCCCAGCTGAGTTCCATGCCGTCCCTGCTGGACTCAACGGAGCTGCCTGAGTGGATTAGCTGCATGTTTGAAGCTCCATTTCAGTCCCAAAGGGGCGCATGTGTGAGTGAAGCACGCATGCGTGGGCGCTCACAACCAGCGAACCAGCTGTGAACGTAAGTGCAGCCCGCCTCTGCCCCCTTTCCCAACAGCTTTTGGATGAGGGAAGAAAAAGGCACGAAGGTTGGGTCTTTCTGGAACGAGCATTCCTCAGACAGTGATTACATTAGGATCCTTAGAGTTGATCAAGGACGTTCCTTAGTAGTTTTCATCTGGATGGGCTTAAAGGTTTCTTCCTGAAGCACAAGGTCAGAGGCGCCTAGCAGGAAGAAGCACTTAGAATGATCAGATTTGGGGCTCTGCAGATAAACAACTATGTGGACTGATGGGAATTGCAGATAAAGGCGTATTCCTTTGACCTAACACCTTCAAATGTTATTGGAGCAGAACAAGATTAGGCACGGACTGTGAAACTGGTATATGGACTGAGTCTAAATCAAGGCCAGAAACTAAGCTTGGTGGGTTTGTTGGAGACTTGGAGACCCTTTTTGTTCACCAAACCTAAAGAATCTGTTGGGAAGCCAGTGATGTTGTAATGGTGGAGGTTCTTCGATATGCATTGACTTGGTCCATCGCTCAGCATTTTTATAATTTTAAGGTATTTTTCCCCCTGCAGCTCGGACCTTACTCAGAAAAGGCAGAGATCTCTACAGCTCCAGGGCCCCCCGATCCATGTTCCACCCCCCTCTTAATGTGCAAAACTGCTACGTGTGTAGTAGCTACATGGGAGGTAGGTGGTTTTTCTCTCCCCCCCCACCCTTTCCTTCTGTATAAATGCAATAAATAAGTTTTTTATTGGAAGAATATCCTATAAATCAGAAACTGACTCTACAGAATGTCTGGGGTTGACCAGGTATGTGGCATGCTTTTGGAATATTCCAGAGCTTTTTTTTTCTTTTCGTTTTTTCCATGTTGGGGTGCACTGAAGTGCTCTTGCGGTGAAAGGATTTGCCAGTGACATCACTGTTGCTAGGTGGAACACCCAATTGGGGGCTCCTTTTGCATCCCTGTGAGGTTGCCTGCTGAAGTGGTACCCATTTATCTAGTTGCAGTCGCCCGCTTTCAAACTGCTGGATCGGCAGGAGCTGAAGTATGTGTGACGGGAGCTCACCCAGCCCTCTGGCAGCAGCAGGTCTCAAACGCGAGCCTGACGATTATCAACCCAGCATTCTAGCCTCGTGAGCCACCGCACTCTTAAAAAATAAATAAATTCCACAGCTACGATTTTGGGAGCAAGACCTACTTCCTCTTTTAGCCTCTCTTAGCATCCCTTCTTAACTGCCACACCACATCATAACACTTCTGAATGATGTCTGTGATATTTCTTACTCCTTGGTGGATTTGTGATCCTTAGGAATGTCCCCAAAGGGCAGGATTATGATTTAGGACTTGCTAGCTTCCCATTTTCTAGGTACTTAAGGCAGTAGATATAATAATCTGAAGTGAAGCTGTAAACTGCAAAATAGCTACCAAGTGGATTGAACAGGGTAGAATACACCCCAAAATTGACTTTACGAGAGGAGAAAACCACCAGACATTTGGTCTTCAGGGCCAAATACAATGATCAGCCTATTTATTTATGTCCCAAGAGAGATCCTGGAAGTCCTTTTTAAACCCTAGATAGGGCCTCTCTGAAAGACAGGGGCGTGCTTCTAGTTTCTCCTAGCAGGCCCTCTTTCGCAGAATGTTTGAATTCCAACCCCACATCAATAAACAAAAGTGCCATAGCAATCTTTTGTGAAGTTCATCTGCAGTTTACAAATGCAAAATGCTAACTTCTCAACCTTTTCTTTCTTCTAACCTCTCCCAAGAGCCCACCATGCAATGGGGCAGAAGTTAATGAATACAGACTAGAATGGGGGCAGATGGAAGGATCTATGCATATCGTCTACACCGGCCCTCTGCTGTGCTACGAAGTGAAGGGGCTCTCCCCTGCAACTACTTACTATTGCAGAGTACAGGTACGTGTAGATTTGGGAAGCAGCAATTCCCCCCCCCCCCCCGAAATTTTAAAACTTCACATTATGTTAAGACCCTCAGCTATATTTCGTGATGAAAATAAATTGAATTTTTTTCAGTGCTGGTGGGAGTCTGAAACTTCTCAACTGATTCACTGCTGTGCAAAAATAAAATAAAATGGATATTCTTGTTTTTACCATAGCGCACGCTTGGAATAATGGATTTCTTGGAACATAATGTGGCTGAATTCCATATTTTGAAGAATGTCTATGGAGATTCTCAGTCATCCAGGACATGGTTGTCCCAAAGGTGCAACTGGAGTTTCTTATTATTCTCTGAAGACCTTTTGCTTCTCTCCAAGAAGTTTCTTCCATTCTGACTGAACGGTGGGAAATGAAGGATTTATAGGAGAACTGGCCACACCCGCAGAACCAGTTAGTGGTCCCTGCGATCTAAAGTTATGAGTTTGGTGGTCCCTCTGAGGTCCAAAAGGTTGGCGATCCCTGATCCTGAGGACACAGATAAACCTCCAAGTGGCCTCAATGTCTCTCTAAACAGAATGCAAATGACCAGCTGTCTTGCAAGGAGCATAAATCCTTCCATTCCCCACCATCCAGTCAGAACTGAATAAGCTTCTTGAATGAGAAGTGAAATGTCTTCAAAGAAAAACAAAGAAGTCCACTTGCCTCTTGACAAAGCACTTTTGGGACATATTTTGAAGAATAATTTCTGAAGGTCCACCAAACCATAGTTATAAAGTCAGAGTTGACTTCTACTGGTTTCATGAATATATTCAAGTGAAGTTTTTGGCAATGTCTTCTGGGATATTTTTTTGAAGTCACTTTCACCTATAGCGTTGGGATTTTCTGATAGTCCTATTTTTTTCTGTACTTTTTTAATTTTAACCTGCAACATATCCTGTCAAAAACCAATCAGATGCTGCCATCTTGTGTAGCAAAAACATATTGTTATTACTTTTACTATTACAGAATAGGAACATTTAAGAGAAAAGTGTCTTAAGTCAAAGAGGAATTCGGTACATCAGTTTGTTCATAAAACTCCAAGGCGTTGAAAAACAATGTTTTTCAAAGTACTGTTATATTTTCAGATCTCTTCTGCAGTAGTCTTAGTAGGATTGGAAAACAATAGAAAACTTCTTTCAGTTGGACTTTTTTCCACTGGTTCTGGTGTGAAGTTAATGCCACCCAATGTCTCTATTCCAATTCAGAGTTAAATAACGCTTAAATATTGAGTATTAGGATAAAAATAGTGATTTGTATTTCTTAACTTCTATAGACAATCATGAAATCTCAGTAATATTTCTTCTTTTTATAGCCTAGATCCAACCTTAGCAAATTTAAGACGTGGGTTTCAACTCCCAGAATACTCTAGAAGCTGACGGCTTTTGCAGAATTCTGGGAGTTGAAGTCCACATGTCTTCAAAATTGCCGAGATTTTTTTTTAAAATAAATTTTATTGATTTTACAAAATTAAAACAGACCAACAACACATACATAAATGTAAGAGAGAAAAAGAAAAGAAGAAAGGAAAAAGAAAATAGAAAGAAAAAGATAGAAAACAACTAAAAACATTGCCGAGATTGAGTAAACTCTGGCCTAGATCAATCTCAGTTGGTCATGCTTGGCTAGGAAAATGGCCCTTCTAGCCAGTTGATTGAATTCCTTTCCAGGATGATTGTTCTTACAATTATTAGTCTGGTTATTTAGGATTAAAAGCACATCCAGGGGTGTCCATGTTTGCTAGGCTGCGATTAGGGGGATTAAAATAGAAATCAACCTAGAAAGGAGGAGAAATGTTCTGAGAGCGAGAGCAATCAACCCATGGAACAGAAGTTGCCTTCAGAAGTTGTGGGAGCTTCATCACTTGATACCTTCAAGAAGAGACTGGAGTGCCATTTGTCAGAAATGATGTAGGGTCTCCTGCTTGGGCTGGGGGTTGGACTAGATGACCTACAAGGTCCCTTCCAACTCTGTTAATCTGTTAAAATAAATCCAAAACATCTGGAGAACATTGTGTTGAGGAGCCTAGATATGCAGATGCTTGAGACTTCATACTATGTAAAGCCCAGACTCTCTCCCCTTCAGATGATAAGAATGAACTTTTGAAAACTGGGTATTTCAAAAGGAATTCTTTATTGAAAAGGAAGATACCCAGATGATGTTCAAAGCAAAGTCTAATATCCCTCCAGGCACGCAGCTTAGATAAAGGGAGTTGGAACCCCTCCCCTTAGTCCGATGTGGATTTCGTCAGTACAAAGAAGCAACATGTTAATTCCCCTACCCCTTTTTTTTCTGGGAATGTAGTTGAGAAGAGCTTCCTAGGAAGTTTCTTTCGGAGCTGGAATTTTTATGGCCCCTTCTCCTCTTGCTGTCTCTCCAAGAGGTGACAAGTTTCCAGGCACCTGGGCTCCAGTCCTCAGTTGTATATCATGTGCAAGTTATACAGATTCAATACAAGAATTTAAGATACTCGGGTTACATCAAAAAGGATTACTTGTATCAACCTCCCCTTCTTCTTCCATTGAAGAATGGCAGATACACGGATCTGACACACTTGTTCTTCACGCTCTTCTCTCCTGTGTGTGTTTTTTAGGCTGTGAATGTGGCTGGTCCCGGGCTATTTGGGGAAATCAGCACAGTGACCACGCCGGCTTCGGTGCCAGCTGCGGTGGCTGTATTGAACTTACTCGAAGAAGACCAGTTGGAAGGTCCTCTTCCCCTCTCCACGTGCCTTGCTCTTCACTGGGAGGAGCCTTGCTGCCATGGGGCAGAGATCATTGGCTACCACATAGAGTATGGGGAGAAGCAGGTCTTAACGGTCAACAAAGCCACAAGCCATGTTCTGGAGAACCTGCAACCCGACACTTTCTACAGGTGATTGGCGATTTATGATCCTAGCAAGGGGGCCCCGGCTTGTTGTCTGAAGACCTTTATTTAGTAAATTGGCATGCTCTGCCCACCTCACTGTCACTCTGGGTGGCACATAATGTCTTTACAGGAAATCCTCAATTAGCAACACTTTGTTTAGTGGCCGTTCAAAGCTAAAAACGGCACTGAAAAAATGTAAGACCGGTTTTCATGCTTGTCTGCCGTTTACAGCGTCTCCATGGTCTGTAGTCACACAATTACAGACCCCCACGATCACGGTCACATGCTCAAAAATCAGATGCTTGGCAACTGACTCATGTTTATGACAGTTGCCGTGTCCCGGGGCCATGCGGTCACTCCCCTGGGGCGACCTTCTGACAAGCGAACTCAACAGGGAAAACCAGATTCCTTTCCTGACCATGTTACTAGCTTAACAGCTTCGGCGATTCCCTTCAACCGCTTTGCAAAATAGGTCGTAAATGGGGCAAAAGTCATTTAACAACGGTCGCACTTAGTTCAGAAGTACTGGGTTCAGTTGTGGCCAAAGGCCAAGGACTGCCTTTAAATTATTTAAATTTAATTAAATTAAACCATAAATTAAATGTATGAATCTTGACTCTTGATGAATGTATCTTTTCTTTTATGTACACTGAGAGCTTCTGCACCAGAGACAAATTCCTTGTGTGTTCAATCACACTTGGCCAATAAAGAGTTCTATTCTAATTCTAATTCTAATTCTAATTCTAATTCTATTCTATTCTATTCTATTCTATTCTATTCTATTCTATTCTATTCTATTCTATTCATTTCTATTCATTTCTATTCTACTCTATTCTATTCATTTCTATTCTATTCTACTCTACTCTACTCTACTCTACTATTCCTATTCCTATTCTATTCTTATTCCATTCTTAATCCATTTTCCATTCTATTCTTATCCCATTCTCCATTCTAATCTTATTCCATTCTATTCTACTCTACTCTAAACTTACTCTAGAGCAAAGATTCATTCATTTAGTCCCTCCATGTCTATAGCCTTCCTCTCCTACAAGTATTCTCCTCTTCTCCTAACATCAACTTTTTATCTGTTTCCCTCCCCGATAGAATCCGAATTCAGGCCTTCAACAGCCTTGGGACTGGCCCTTTCAGCCCATCCATTAAAGCGAAAACCAAGCCTTTACCTCCAGATCCTCCACACCTGGAGTGCGTGGTCTTCAGTTACCAGAGCCTTAAGCTGAAGTGGGGGGAAGGTCCTAGCAGAGCTTTGATCGCCAATCCCACCCAGTTCAATTTACAGATGGAAGACCGGCTGGGCAGGTGAGACCAGACTTGGGAATACCTTGGCCTCTTTGTCTCTGGGCTCAGGCTATGGAGGGGGAAGAGTTTCCTTGAAGTGGCAGCTTCTCAAGATTTAGAGAAACAATAAATGTACCCAAATCTGCAAGACACGGAGAACCAATGGAAAAAACCGCCCTCTTCTTTATTGGAGGCATGATGGGATTCTGCCGGTTCGACCCAATAATAAAATATCCTCCCGTTCAGCCAAACCAGTAGTAAAAAAAAAACATCTGAACCGGTATTTCTTTTCTTTCTTTTTCCTCCTGACAATCAGCTGTGCTGGGATCCCCCTCGCTGTCTTACTGCTTCGCCCAGGAAGCTTCCCTGAGGCCCAGGAGCCCCCCTACCCCCCCCCAAAAAAAACCAGTGCAGGGGTGTGTGTGCTGCAGAAAAGGAGAAGCCACGCCCATCCAGTCCCATGGCCACTCCCACCTAGCAAACTCCCACAGAACCGGTAGTAAAAAATATTTGCACCCCACTCCTGATCTGAGGTCTCCAAACTGGGCGACTTTAAGACTTGTGGACTTCAACTCCCAGAATTCTCCAGCCAGAGAATTCTGGGAGTTGAAGTCCACAAGTCTTAAAAGTCGCCAAGTTTGGGGACCCCTGTTCTTTATCTTCAGTGTCCTCTGGAGCAAGGGTCTTCAAACTTGGCAAGTTTAAGACTTGTAGACTTCAACTCCCAGAATTCCTGAGCTAACATGACTGGAGGAGGAATTGTGGGAATTGAAGTCCACAAGTCTTAAAGCTATCAAGTTTGAAGATCCCTGCTCTGGAGGACTACTTATATCGCCATAATACTCCCCCAAAATGTTTTTTATGAGGTTCCCATCATCTAATTGAATGCCTGGCACTTACACTCCTTAGATGTGCCACAGACACTGAATGGTGTAATCAGGGAGATAACAGAATGACGGAGTTGGAACAGAGGGAGCTTGGAGGTCTTCTAGTCCAACCTCCTGCTTAGTCAGGGGACACTATACGATTCCAGACAAACAGCTGCCCAATTTCGTCTTGCGTGAACGTGTTCAGTTGAGGGCAAACGAAAGGCAGCACACCCAAACCCAAAGATCTGATGAAGTGTACTTATTTGGGATTTATTTCTCTGACACTTTCCATTAAGAAAAAGAACCCCATTTCACATCTGCCATGACAAATGGATGAAAGCAAATATTTAATTGGGGAAATAAGTCTTCGTGCACATCTAATAAATCTTGTGGGAGCGTGAACTTTATAGAGATTTTTGCGCTTGGAATGTTGTTTCAGTCTTCGCCGTTTGCGAATAGATAATGTTTGTCTGTGGTTTGCAAGGTCAGGGTGACAGCTGTCACGATCAAATTCAAGCTAGTGGTGATGTGTGACACATCGTCAGACAACAACGGCTGTTTTAGCCCATGTTGTGGACATGAATGACGCTCAAATATTGGCTGAAAGTCCGTAGAGATTCTCAGTCATCCAGGTGCTTTTCTGAGGAGGCAACTGGATTTTGTTTTTGCTTTTCTTTGAGGACGTTTCGCTTCTCATCCAAAAAGCTTCTTCAGCTCTGACAGGATAGTGGGGAATGGAAAAATTTCTATTCCTTGCAGACAGGTGGTTATTTGCATTCTTTTAGAGAGCTGTTGAGGCCAGTAGGAGGTTTGTCTGTGTCCTCAGGGACACCTGAGTGGTGCTCCGGTTCCTGTAGTCTGCAATTTTTTCCCTCTGGAAAATCCATTCCTATTCCCACACCATTCCAAAGGTGTTCATCCCAAATTGTATAGCTAAAAGTCTGTAGAGATTCTCAGTCATCCAGGTCATTGGTTGTCCCAAAGGTGCTTTTTTTCAGGAGGCAACTGGACTTTCTTGATTTTTTGTTCGAAGACGTTTCGCTTCTCATCCCAGAAGCTTCTTCAGCTCTAAGAATGGGGGAAATGGAAGGATTTCATTCTGCAAGCGGTATAAATCCTTCCATTCCACACTATCCTGCCAGAGCTGAAGAAACTTCTTGGATGAGAAGCGAAACGTCGTCAAAGAAAAAAACCAAGAAAGTCTCGCTGCCTCCTGAAAAAGCACCTTTGGGGAAAAACAAGTGTCTGACTTTTGGGTTTACTGGCTGAATCAGGAATGCTTAAGTACAGTATTTCACTCTTTGGAATTTAAAGGATGTTATCTTTGACACACCAAACCTGTCAGGGTGGCCATCATCTTTAAAAGAAACCCGCCTGCATGATTGGAGTATTGTCCCAAAGGTGCTTTTGCAAAGGGCACCTGGACTTGTGTTTCTGGATTGGAAGGTTAGAGAGTTCAGAGCAATTTTTCAGATCTTTTCTCTCTTCCCATTTCAGGTTCATCCCTGTCTACAGTGGACCTTGCCACACCTATAAAGTGCAGCGGCTTAGCGAGTCTACCACGTACTATTTTAAAATCCAGGCCTGCAACGATGCTGGGGAAGGGGAATTTTCCGAAGTTTACGCCTTTGCCACAACCAAATCACCACCGCCTGCCATGAAAGGTGAGGGGCATTGAGCACATACGAACAGTGTTCATAAATGGAGGAAGATTAGACCCCTTAAAAGGAGAGGCTCTTCAAGGCATAACTCTTTGCTTCTGCTTTGATAGGTGATACACTCTGTGTGTGTGTGTGTGTGTGTGTTTGCTGGCCAATATAGTTTTGGAAGAAATTAGATTGATTTAGTTAGGGGTCGGCAACCTGCGGCTCTGGAGCCACATGCAGCTCTTTCGGCCCTCTGCTGCAGCTCCCTATTGGCTGATCCCACCACTGGCTGGCCCCTCCCCTTCTTGCCTGGCCAGAGAAGGTAAGGATGATGGCAGGGGATGGAGACTTGGCTCCATATTGCAGAGCAGGAGGTGACTGGGTGGGAGTGAGTGACGTTCAGTTGGCCACGCCCACCCAGTCACACCGGTTGTTAAATTATTGGCTCCCGGTGTTTTCTTTTGTGTGAGAAATGGATCCAAATGGCTCTTTGAGTGTTTAAGGTTGCAGACCCCTTGATTTAGTTAAAGGCAGGAAGTTTCTCTTCCTGTCACTTTGCTTTAGAAAAAAAATGTAGGTGGCCCTCAAATAAAGCGCACAAAATGAACTGAAATGCAGAATGCACCAGTCTTCCCAAACCTTATCCTTAATTATTCAGAATTACTTATTTTTTTTAAAAAAACCCTTATTTAAATATCCCCGTTGTGTAAATGGGTTTGTGTCATTTCCAGAAAGAAAAATCGCTTTTACCCAATTTAGGGTAATGCACACCCAGATTCAAAGGCATAATCTCCTCCGGAAGAGAGTAAATAATATGCAGGCAGTTCTTGACTTACAACCATTCATTTTGTGACCAAAGTTACGATGACACTGAAAAAAAAAGGGACTTAAGGGCCGTTTTTCACACTTATTATGAGCTTTTGCAGCACCCCTTGATCAAAATTCGGATGCTTGGCAACTGGCGGGTATTAATGACGGTGGCAGTGTCCCTGGGGGGGTGTCATGTGATCCCCTTCAGCGACTCTCTGACAAGCAAGCTCCCTGGGGGAGGCCAGATTCCCTTAGCAACCGTGTGACTAACTTAACGAAGGCAGTGATTCTGTAGTAAGAAAAGCCGCAAAATGGAACGAAACTCAATTTCTCCGCTGAGCAGTGGGAATTTTGCGCTCAATTTTGGTCGTAAGTCAAGGACTACCTGTAACCCCAGTGGGACAGTATCAAGAACGGGGCATTCCTTTGGTAGCATAGGAGCCCGCGGTGGCCCCGTGGTTAGAATGCAGTACTGCAGGCTACTTCGGCTGCCTACAATTTGGCAGTTCGATCCTGACCGGCTCAAGGTTGACTCAGCCTTCCATCCTTCCGAGGTGGGTAAAATGAGGACCCAGATTATTGGAGGCAACAGGCTGATTCTGTGAACTGCTTAGAGAGGGCTGTGAAGCACTGTGAAGCAGTATAAAGACTTATTGCTATTGCTATTAAGAGCAGTAGTGGTGTTGTGGTTGGAATGCAGTATTGCAGGCTAATTCTGCCCACTGCCACGAGTTTGATCCTGACCAGCTCAAGATTGACTCAGCCTTCCATCCTTCCAAAATCGGTAAAATGAGGAACCAGATTGTTGGGGGCAAGAGGCTGACTCTGTAAATGGCTTAGAGCAGAGGTCTCATTCTCGCGGCCCGCGGGCCAATTGCAGCCCGCAGGATGATATCCTGTGGCCCCCACTGTGATATGAAAGTATAATATTAGTGTATAATATAAATATAAAGTATAATATAAAGTATAATATTATGCGGCCCAGCCTCACCCAGACTCTGCCTCCAGCTGCCCCCAGGTAAATTGTGTTTGAGACCCCTGGCTTAGAGAGTGCTGTAAAGCACTGTGAAGCGGTATATAAGTCTAAGTGCTTGTCAGGTGAGGCTCCATTCAAAATCCAAGAAAGAAACCCTTAAGACTCCATCGTTACAGAGAAAAGGACTTTTATTGCTATTGCTATTCCAAAGCCTTAATTTCAGCAGCACCTTCCTAAATTATTTCCACATTGGGAATAGAACCATCATTGTAAAATTAACCTGCCAAGCAAGAAGCTCAACTGGATGGAAGAAGAGTTGGAGGAATAGATTTTGGTACGCTGACCCTAAACCAAGTTGCACTTTGAAACGTCGCTTAAGTTCATTCAGGGAGAGGGGATGCATGCTGTATACTATCCTTAGCTAAAAGGAGGACAATACATAGCATGGATGTTTTAACTTCCACTTTTGTTCCAACTTGCAGCCCCCAAAGTCCATCAGCTGGGAGACAATGTCTGTGAAGTCACCTGGGAGCCTTTACAGCCAATGAAGGGTGATGCCATTGTTTACATATTGCAGCTTGCCACTGGGAGGGAAGCGGATCAGGTAATCCCAGAATGATCCTTTTTTTTACAGATATTATGGGGAAACCCCCTCCCCGCAAATACAGTAATTCTGAATGCACTGTTATAAAGTAGGGGCATCCGATCTTTGCAATTCTAAGCCATTGGCCATCTGGGGATTTCTGGGAGTTGAAGTCCACAAGTCTATTGCCAGGGTTGGACACTTCTGTTATAAAGGGACCTCATTATCACAGGAATTGTCAAGCGGCAGGGAAATCGGGACACCCAGCCAGTTCAAATGAGCGTAAAGATTTATTGCAAGCTTAAGCTGTTGACAAGAATCTGAACTACTAACAGTCAAGGGAAATTGGCAGTAGATAAGTCAATGGAATTCAAGGGCTGGATTTAGATCTCTCGTGAGCATGAAGGGACTCATGACTAATGACACATTTGACCCCTTGGGCTTAGCCTGGTCCTCTCCTTCGCAATCAAACCTCCCTCTTCCCCAATCAAACCGTCAGGGGGCCTCTCAGAATAAGTTGAGTTGGAGGGGACCCTGGAGGTCTTGCAGTCCAACCCCTAAAGCAGATTTCAGACAAACAGCTGTCGAGTCGGGCTGAATCGCAGCTTGACGAGGTGCTGTGTAACTTATTATTCAAGTCTATGCTCTTGGAGCGTTGCCCAGATTGCCAAACATTGTATGAAGTGTGACCATTCTTTAGTGGTAGACCCGTCTTCTTTTCAACTAGAAAGCCCTAAGATTTCTTGGAAGGGCCAGAAAAAGGCCTTCTGTCTGAACCTCAAAGATGAGAGCCGCTGCCAGTAAATGTGAGTGGTACGGAATACACAGGCCAGTGTATAGGCCTTATAGGTCAGCATAAGGCAGTATTTAGGATGCCCAGCAGAGGTTAGCTATCAATACCAAGATACACATATCCACATCTTTCAAGAACCAGGTTCTGTGCCCCGTCTGATGTTTTAAAAAGCGATCTGCCCCAGAGCAAAAGGCCAACTCCAACTGTAGCTTTTATTTCCCAATAACTGCACTGCCGAGTGGGCTTGAAGGGTTTTCCACCTGTCTTCCCCAAAGCAGAGAGAAGCTTAGATAGGAGCACCTAGGGCTGTGATGGTGAACTGTGATGAGTGACTCTGGAATGCAGAGCCATTTGTGTGGGCACGTGAGCCCCAGCCAAACTTACTTGCACTGCGCATCTGCGTGGTCTCCCAGCTGATTTTTGGCCCGTTTGAGGCCTTTTTTGGCCTCCCTGAGGCTCAAGGGAAGCCTCGGGAGGCCGAAAAACGGGCGTTCCGGAAATACCAGAAGTGACGAAACGGACCCTTTTTTCAGCCTCCAGAGGCTTCCCTCAAGCCTCCAGGAGATCGAAAACGGCCTCAAATGGGCCAAAAATCAGCTGGGAGGTGCATGCACGCGCAGTGCAGGTTAGGCAGTGGGGGTGTTGCGCATGCATGCGCAGGAGGGGGCGGGGCGCATTGCATCGCAGGTGCCGGCATCCACGCGCGCTTTCGGCACACCACAACCAAAAGGGTTCGCCATCACTGGCCTAGGAGGCCATGCAGTGACCATCAGCAACCTTGCTCCCTCTGTTTTCATTCAATGGGGGGTTCCAAAGCTTTCCATATACCCGTTTTGGGGGAACCTGTCCAGAACTTCTCAGAGTTTCCGGTAAGGTCCCCCCCAAAGATGGAAGGTTTCTGGCTTTGTGGAATTGTGTCGCCTTGTTCTCCCACCTGACGGGTGTCTTCCTCCTGCTCCTGCCTCAGATCTACAAGGGACCAGAGACTTCCTATCGCGTCTCCAACGTGCAAACAAACTGTGAATACCGATTCAGGGTGTGCGCTGGGCGCCAGCATCAGGACTCCACGGGGTGGCAAGAACTCTTCGGCCCGTACAGCCCAAGCGCCGCCTTCTCATCTCAAAAGCAGGAGCTGCTCCTGCCATCTTCGGACCCGGCTCCGGAGCTCCTGAAGAGCAAGCGGAAGGCGCTCAGCGACGAACAGTTTGCGTTTCTGCTCCTTGTCATCTTCGCCACGGTTGCCATTCTGTTCGCCGTCATCATCCAGTACTTTGTGATCAAGTAAGTTGGTAGCCGCGGAGAAGCGACTTCATCACTCAGCTTATAATTTTTCATATGGAAGTTTTACGCCTTGGGTATTTATGTGAATTCCAATTAAAATGCTAGCTGGGAACGATGGAATAAAAAGACACCCCATTTCCATTTTTGCTGCTGAGTAACAGGTTGGATGGACAGGATGCCTTCTCCCAACCCCTCCCCCTCCCCTCCTGTCCTTCCCATCCCCCCACCTTCCCCCCTTCAGGGGCCGAAGAGAGCCGTGGGGGGAGGGGGGTAGAGGAGGAAGGGGCAGACAGACGCGAAGAACATCCCTATTTACAGCACGGTGGTGCATCTTCTCATCAGGGTTAGCTGTTGAAAAAAACAGCCAAAAAACAAAAAAACAAAAAACTGCCTTAATTCTCAAGAGTTTTGACTTAATTTTCACAGCGAGTCCTGAATTCTCAAAAGCCGAGCGAGAAGGGGGGTGCAGGAGGCGAGCCGGCTGCTGCTCTAGCATTTGGGGGACCATGAGATATAGCAGATCCTTATTTTACGCTTAAAAAAGACAGTCCTGTATTCTAGGATGCAGCACCAGGAAACCATCTGTAGAGGAAAAAGAAACCCTACCCAAATACTGTCCACCATGACGTTTCAGAGGTAGCGTAATGTTAATTTTTTCCCCCCAGTTCTTTTAACTGGGATGTGTGTGTGTGTGAGAGAGAGAGAGGCTGGACACTGTCCCTTCTAGGGAAGCAGTGGTAGGTGTGAGCCTTTTTGAGGTTTCAATTCAAGGCATCCAATTCACCTGCACGCAAGAGGGATTCGGGTCGGTCTTGAAATTGGCAAGAAAGATGCTCTTCTCTCCTTCCCTCCCCCTTCACCGCTGAGATGCTTTCTCTCTCGTAGTAAACTTTAACGGTTGGCCCCACTCAAGGTCTCCCTCTCTTGTGCCTGAGAGACTGAAGAACACCCTGTGCTTCTCACTTTATAAAAAAAGAAGGAGAAAAATAAACCTCTACAGCGTTGGTTTTCTTTGTTTTCCAAGGGGAAAAAAAAAAGCACAGCATTTTTTTTTTTTTTGTCTTTAATGAGAACAAAAAAAAAAGTGCATTTATGATAAATGTTTCACTATTTGGCTCAAACTGAGCAAAAATGTTTTTTGTACTATTCTTAACATGGGATTAAAAAGTCGAACTCTCTGGGGGAATTTTTTTTTGGGGGGGGGTAGTTTTGTTCCTCGGGGCGTCCTTCATCCGCTTGATTAAGTCACGTGTGAAAAATTACCTCCCCCTCCTCCTTTCTCTCCCATTTCCCCCCCCCTCCACCCACTCCCCCCAAAAGTTAGGTTTTAAGTTTGAACGTAACTGTCACCTCTTCCGTAGCAGTTCCGTGTTCCACTGTTTTGGTCTTTTGTGAGATTCCAAGTCTTTTTCCGTTTGTGATGGAAATTTCATCTCACGGCTTCGGGTCAAACTCATGTTTCCTTTCCTTTGTTTGGGAGGGCGAATATCATGCACTACAGAGGAGCTGTTCCGTGTAAGGCCTCTGCAGCAAATACCTGTAAAATAAAAGTATTTAAACATTGTCTTTACAGTCATGCTACTTTGAAAAGCTTAGAAACCATCCATTTTGTTCTTTGAAAGAAGAAACTCAGAGAGAGAGAGAGAGAGAGAGAGAGAGAAGAATAGACATTTTGTTGAGTTTTCCATATTGATAGGGACCGAAAAGTTCCGCCTTACAAAACATCTGAATGCTTTGTATTTGTATATGGGACAGTGGACGTAACTTGTGAAACTCATGTTTAGCTTGAGACATGTCTGTTTCCAAAACAACACAACTGGCTGTTGAATTCATCATGATAGCTTATGGTTTGTGGCATTGTGTTTGCATTTCACACCTGGGGGAAAACACACACACACAAAAACACACACACAAAAAACACACACGCAAATGATATCATAACACTTACTATCTTTAAAGTAGATTTATGGTGCAATCTGAAATTTATCTTTCCTTCCCCCCTCCATAAAATGTACTCTCCTCTTTTTTGTGATCTATTTATTTTGATTTAAAAAAAAGAAATTCTGGAAAAATGTATGTTTGAATGTATTGTTCTACTTGTAGCAGAACTTTTTTAAGTTAATCATTTGTTGTAATGGAAGCCTCTGCTCAGTGTTGAAAAGAGTTTTATACAAATGTTTGTGTCTTTAGTTTGCAGGAATGTTTACAACCTGTTCTCCTTCATTTCGTTTCATACTTCACTTTTTTATAAAATAAAATAGTTTTTGTCTTTGGCAGATTTCTGTTGCGAAAGTGACAAAGAAACAAAACAAAACTTATAGAGGTGGGGAGAGAGAAATCTCATTGAATTGGCAGCAGTGTGAGAAATGCATTTTTTTTAAATTAGATTTTTCTGAATAAAATACTAACCAAAATTATGACTTCCTAGAAAGTTAAATCTTTAATTTGTATTTGTAATTGCCACAAAATGTTTATTATATTTCCAGGAAGTTTACTGGAAAGCATAATGTAGAATTTTATATTTACAGCTATACATTCCAGACTGATGTACCTAGTGGCATTAATGTATTAGGTCTCCTTTTCTCTTGTATTGTAATTTTTGCCGTATTTCATACTTATGTTAAACCTGCCAGGCATCGTATTACTAAATTGTAACTATCAAATAGATAATATATTTAATATGGCCAATAAAAATAAACAAAAAAATGTTCATATTTGGGACTGTGGAGTTGTGTGTCTCCTCTATCACACGTACATCCCAGACAGTGTACAACCGGGGTCTCCAAACTTGGCAACTTAATAAGTTGTGGACTTCAAGTCCCAGAATTCTAGGAGCTGAAGTCCACAAGTCTAAAAGTTGCCATGGTGTATAGGAATGGGCCAGAACCGTAGATCAAACACTTTCAAAATCCCGCTTTATTTCTTCTTGACACCATCCACAAAGAACATCTTACGCTTTTCATCGTCACATGAGTGACATGTAAAGATAGACCACGGTGGTGCAGTGGTTAGAGTGCAGTACTGCAGGCTACTTCTGCTGACTGCCGGCTGCCTGCAATTTGGCAGTTTGAATCTCACCAGGCTCAAGGTTGACTCAGCCTTCCATCCTTCCGAGGTCGGTAAAATGAGGACCCAGATTGTTGGGGGCAATAGGCTCACTCTGTAAAACAGCTTAGAGGGCTGTAAAGCACTGTAAAGTGGTATATAAGTCTAAGTGCTATTGCTGTTTTCCTCCCTCCCTCTCTCCCTCCTTCCTTCCTGTTAGAATGGCAGGCTAACTGCCCACTGCCAGCAGTTTGATTCCCACCAGCTCAAGGTTGACTCAGCCATCCTTCCGAGATGGGTAAAATGACTCGTCTTGTTGGGGGCAAGATGCTGACTCTGTAAAACCACTTAGAGAGGGCTGTAAGGCACTGTAAAGCGGTATATAAGTCTAAACACTATTGCTATATTCCTTTAGTATTCAATGGTCAAGCTTGAGCAGTGTTATATTTTCAACCAGCTCCAAATAAAATTTTGTTCAAACTACCTGGACTTAGTGACCTTTAACCTCCCAGAACATTTCTCTCCAGGTAGCATCAACCAGGCTGGATATAACATGACGCTGATGTCCTTTGAAACCCTTCTGCATCAGATGTGGGCAAATTAATTCAGATGATGACATCTGGTGCAGTTTATTATTCCCAGAAGAACTGGCTTTTTTTTTTTTTTTTAAAGCCAAAGACCTGATGCTAAAACATGGGGAAGAAAGATCATTCACTCTCTGGTTTAAAATATATTCCTTACTACAGTTAAACAAGGAGCATTAAACTAGGAGCAAATAAGAAAAACAAACAATCCAGAACCCAGCACTTCCTTTCCATTATATTTTTATACACAGTAAAAAAGATGGGATTTCTATCCATTACCACCAACTTTTTATGTCCTTCAACGTACGACGCAAATGGAGCCCAACATTTATGTTGCTAAGTGAGACATTTTGTTAAGTGAGTTTTGCCCCATTTCATGATCTTGCTTGCCACAGTTGTTAAGTGAATCACTGCAAATGTTATTAATGTTGTTAAGTGAATCTGGCTTCCACATTCACTTTGCTTGTCAGAAGGTCGCAAAATGGAATCACGTAACCCTGGGACACTGCAGCCGTCGTAAATGCGAGTCAGTTGCGAAGCGTCTGAATTTTAATCACGTTACCCTTGGGGATGCTGTAACAGTAAGTGAGAAACGTTCGTAAGTCACTTTTTTCAGTGCTGTTGTAACTTGGAACAGTCACTAAATGAACTGTTGTAAGTCAAGGACTATGTCAACTCATAAAATATTTCTCTGGTCTTTTTAGAGTTGCCAACAGAAAGGGGGGGGCGGAGCAATACAGCAGCTTGCAAAACTGAAACTGAATTCCATAAATGTTTTCAAAGATAGTAACTAGGTGACTGAAGTTTCTGCTGCACAAAATTCTAACTGGAGAACATGATTGATGGCTCTTGGCTATGGATGTGTCCCATTGGAGAATATGAATTATGTGATGACCCGGGGTGTGGCACAATAGCAACAAAGTCACAAAAGTAGGTAAAGTCCCTTTAATTCCTCTAGCGTGGCCTCCAATGTTATCATCGGCTGAAGAAAAAAACTTCCAAGAACAGTTTTTAAAGGGAAGAAATTTAGTCCGAACCAGAAGTACATACAAATTATAAATAAAAACCAACACAAAACAAGCTGCAGCAATTAATGAGACAGGGCAGGATAAGGAATTGCAGAACTCAAAAGATAACAAAACACACACAGTTGGGAGGATGCCAGAACCCAGATAAGACTTAACAAAGGTAATGCACGCCCCCTCTTTATCCTGTTTCCCCAGTTGCAGCCAATGAAGGGAATTAGGGCCTCCTTCTCCCCCATAACCCACGTTGCTCCCTTATCCGTTACTCCCTGCGAGCCACACCCACTCCCTGTCAGCTGCTCGACCTCCCCCTCAGAATCAGATTCCAACAGGAGTATAACAAATTAAGATACACCCAGTGGGTGGGAAAACCAGGGTCAAGGGTGACAATAAATAATGTGTCTTACAGTCGGCTACACGGCTACATCCAGGCAGTGCCAGACAGTCTAACTCCCAATAAATCCTCTTTTAAGTTTTGGAAGATTGGCTCAAGACTCATGATTTAAATGGGGGTAACTGCCGGAATCCTGACAGGCTACCTGTAATACAACATATAACATCCCCATAATGCATGAAGGTTGGTATACTAATATCCCCTTCTTGGCTACAGATGATTTATTGTACTCTGACAGATCTGGAATAAAAGCAGTTTGGCTCCAATGGATAAATTGAGTATACTTTCAAATTCTTAATTAGAAAGCAATTAAGCTGCTCTTGGGGGGAAAATGAAGCTAATGCAATTTTATAACTTTTCTTTTTTTTAAAGAGAGGGAGTGTATCCCCGGAGTAATAAGGATGAATAGATTTCTCCACTCCAAGTCAAAGAAAAACATCTTTATTTTGAGAGGAGGAATTTTACTATTTGGGTGTTAAAAAGAGAAATATTCCGCCATTATCTTGAGAACTAACATTGCATCAGAAGAGCTCTAAAGAAAAACCATACAGCACTTTAAGAACTAATATTCACATCAAATCAGGCCTTGACTAAAAGCAGCCAAGATTAAGAATTAACATTCTTTTAGGAAAGATTATTTAACGTATATCTAACTAAAAAATACGTCAATGATATTCTGAATTATACAACAATGTATTTTTGACTTCAAGGCATTTTCTAAAAAAATTAGAAGGACCTACCTGTTTATAGCACCTCATTAAAGAGACAGCAAAGTTTATGGCTCTTCTAATAAAGAGAATATAAAGTCTGTAGCTTATTCACCTGATCAGACTACATTAGACCCAAAGAAATACATGAGAAGTACTATCAGATATTTATTTATTAAATTAATGTGCTCCCTCTCCTGTTTCAAAGTGACTCTTGGAATGCCATTAACAATACTGCCATGAAGCAGAAAATAAGGAAATGGCTTTTAATTTTTCTTGAAATGAAAATTCGAGTTGGCCTTTTATATTCTTGAAAAATACAAATTATCGCTCAGATTTTCTTTCCCAGATAGAAAGGATTTACAAGAATCCAAAATGGTTGTGCCTGGAATACTATCACAAAAAATGCAGAAATACAAAAAGGCCAAATCTCACATATTTATGGCATTAGAACCACTAGGGGTGGTGAGAGTAAAATTTAAGGAACCAAACTGGCAAATCAAACGCAAAAAGGTATATGTTGATGATGCTCTATGGGCAGTTTGCTCGCCCAAAGAATTGTGATACACAACATTGTACAAATTGAACTGAAGAGGAAAACCAGCATTTGAAACAAACATGACTGAATATCACTGTAGAGCTGATTAAATAACAGCATTAAACTGATCCGTTTTAAACTAACCAATTTACTTAATTAGAAACGAAGACTTACTCATAAATAATTATCTAGAGAGCTGAAAAAAATACAATGGCTGATATTTTAAGATGGAAGGATAGGCAAGGATGGAGAAGAGAATCAAAAATTTATCCTTATAAATATATATCCTTAAACCAAATGTATTTGATTCTCTTCTCCATCCTTGCCTATCCTTCCATCTTAAAAGTATCAGCCATTTTTAAGGATAAAAATAAGAGCTAATTTTCGTGCTTTACCTGTTTGGTCATCTGGAATAGATAGCTACAAGAGAATAGATAGCTACACCGAAATTTGGGAATGAGGATGGGAGGAGACCCCACTTACAAAGATCCTCTGGAAACAGACAACCTGAAGTCTAGAGAAAAGAAGGACAAGAATACAGTGTTCCAGTATTTGAGGGGCTGCCATGAAGAAGAGGGGGTCAACCTATTTTCCAAAGCACCAGAGGGCAGGAGAGGAAATAATG